TTCCGCTCTGTCTCTCTCTTGCCACTCGCCATTTTGCATAGAACACGCATCCGGCGCCCCGTCCGTCCGGGGGGCGGCCTTCGTGGGGGTGGCCGTCGTGGGGGTGCACAGTGGGCCAGAAGACCGGTGGAGGCGGACAAAACTCTAGACGCGTTTTGAGCTCCAGAGTCACTAAACAGGACTCGAACCGGACGTGTGACCCCACCAATGGATTGCTCTCCGACCGAGGAGAGACCAGTTCGAGTCCTGTTTAGTGACTCTGGAGCTCAAAACGCGTCTTTGGCCGCCTCCACCGGTCTTCTGGCCCACTGTGGGGTGGCCGTCGGGAACAGCCCCGGCCAGCACCCGGCAAGGCAAAAATCCCTTTCGAAAACGAAATAAAATTCAAATGGCGGCGCCGAAAATGGTGTTGACGGGCCGTGACGGCGTAGTATCGTGGTCCTGATCAATATGGGCCGGCCGGGACGGACGGACGGGCTGGCTGGCTGCTCGGGCTGGCGGCTAGGGCCCCAGGTGGCTTGTTAGAACCTCATCTGAATATATCTCAACGCGCCGACCAAGCAGCCAAGGCAGCCACGGCAGCCAGCCCTCCGCAGGCCGGCCTCTGGGCCGGGCTCCAGCCAGCCGGGGGGCCGCCTCCCCGCGCACCGTCGCTCTGCCCCTCTCGCACCGCAGCGGGGCCCTGCGGGGCCCGGAGGGACGCTCCAGCAGAGCGAGAGAGACAGCGCAAGCTGTGGAATCTCTGTAAAGCGTGCACTTTAGGCCACTCCACTCTTTGGCCGGCTGGATGACGTCACTCCAATTCCAGCCATTCCTTGCGGGGCTGGCGGCCTAGGGTGCGGCCTTGGGGGCGGCCTTGGGGGCGGCCTTGGGGGCGGCCTTGGGGGCGGCCTTGGGGGCGGCCTTGGGGGCGGCCTTGGGGGCGGCCTTGGGGGCCTTGCATAGTGCAGGTGCCGTTGTTTCGGCATTCCCTCGAGCCGCCCCAGCCGCTCAAAGGGAGTGCCGCGTCGTCCGTCCGGCTCACCGAGGCTTTATTCCCCAGGAAAGCGCGGGCCATCTCGCCGAATCACGGAACCCGCCTGCGCAGTGGGCCAGAAGACCGGGGGAGGCGTCAAAAGTTCTAGACGCGTTTTGAGCTCTAGAGTCGCTAAGTGGGACTCGAACCGAACGTCTGACCCTATCAATAGATTGCTCTCCGAACGAGGAATCCATTGGTGGAGTCACACGTTCGATTTGAGTGCTGTTTAGTGACTCTGAAGCTCAAAACCCGTCTAGAATGCCGCCTCCACCGGTCTTCTGGCCCACTGTGCTGCGTCGCTCTGTCTCTCTCGCACTCCCGCGTGTGGGTGCGGTGCGAGGGAGACGACGCGACGACGGCGTGCTCGCTTCCTGACTCAAAGGCGGCCCCTCAGCCGCGCGGCCCCGGAAGACGAGCCGTTCCATTTATTAATTTGGCCGCCGTCAAAATTGCGAGAGGAAGCGCACAGGTGGCCGGCCACACTGAGGTTGTGCCAGACAGACAAACAGACAGGCAGGCAGGCAGACGGACAGACACGCGTGCGGACCAATAGGTCGTTGTGCCTTGTCTCTCTTTTCCAGTACATTTTCGTTTTCTTGAACGAAAAAAAACGCCCCCAGTCGAACCATGTTTCATCAAATTTGTCCCACTTTGCTACGACTAATACTACATTACTTTGCGCGAGATCGTGCCTTCGTGCATGAGTGAAATCCTTGGGCGGAGAGGCCTGGGGGGGGAGAGGAAGAGAGGGGTAGAGAGAGAGAGAGAGAGAGAGAGAGAGAGAGAGGGGGGGGGGCGACTGGCGGTAATGAAAGCAAAACGAATCCTCGTCCCGCCATAGCACACAGCACAGTCATATCCGCCAGCTACGCGTCAGAGGGAGAGCGAGAGGGAGGAGAGAGAGAGAGAGAAGCAGCAGAAACGGGAGAGGGGAGAAAACGAGGGAAAAGACGCGAAAGAGTACGCGTCTAGAGCGAGAAAGAGAGAAGCGGGATACCGACAGAGGGACGAGGGAGAGGGAGGAGAGACGGTGAGCAGCCGCTGAGGTGCTGTTTGGCCTAATTTCAAGTGTTGAAAATAAACGGGGCCAGGAATAACGCCAAGCCTACGCCCCTTGCCCCCTCCACTGCCACCACAGCCTCCCCCTACCCCCTCCCCCTTCCACCGACCCATAGTCCACTCCTACGGACTGGCTTCATTTCCGTTCCATAGGCCAGTGGCCACCCCTGCCTGCCAGCCTGCCTGCCTGCCTGTCTGTCTGTCTGTCTGTCTGTCTGTCTGTCTGTCTGGCTGCCTGTCTGTCTGTCTGTCTGTCTGTCTGTCTGTCTGTCTGTCTGTCTGTCTGCCTGTCTGTCTGTCTGTCTGTCTGTCTGTCTGCCTGTCTGTCTGTCTGGCGGTGAGCCCACCGGTGGTCGTCCGTGCGTCTACCTGCCCTTCGTCTGGCTGTCAAATCCGCCTATGTGCAATAACTCAAGTCGATACCTCCGCCGACGGGGCAAACTATCCCAGCATCCCCCACCCCTCCCTTTATCAGACACGTGCTGAGGTCGCTGCTGCTGAGGCGGGGGTATCGGATGAGGGCCGAGTGGTCCAGGCCGCGCGCGTGGCGCACGGCAAGCCCCCCTTCCCCTCCCCCGATCGGTCCGTGTATCGCCCGAACGCACAGTGGGCCAGAAGACCGGCGGAGGCGGTCAAGACCCCGGACGCGTTTTGAGCTCCAGAGTCGGTAAATGGGACTCGAACCGAGCGTGTGACCCCACCAATGGATTGCTCTCCGAACGAGAAGTCCGTTGGTGGGGTCACATGTTCGGTTCGAGTCCTGTTTAGCGACTCTGGAGCTCAAAACGCGTCTCGAGTTTTGGCCGCCGCCACCACCGCCACTGTGGAACGCCCCGGAGCCAGCGAGCGCCGTGCGGGTAGGCAACCCGACGACTCCCCTGCCGCTCGACTGCCTACCCTCCATTACCATTAACATTAAGGGCTAGACCACGCATGATCGTATGCCATTTCGGGCCCGAGGCGCTCGCGTCCCCGGGGGGCGACCGCGCGCGCTGGTCAAAATGACAACCGCTTGTTTTAAAACTTCCGAAACGCTGGAACGGGACGACGGACAACACCCCGACGCGGGCCCGCGGGCTGCCACGAGCGGCAGAGAACAGAGAAGCAACCGAGAGCAGGCGGCGAGAGCCGAGGGCGGTGCGGTACAAAAGGCGAATAAAGATGGGCGAAGCGGCCAAAGAAAAACGTAACGCCGTCTTTTGCGCCTTCGGCGGGAAAAGCAGCTTCCTGGAGCTCGCTTCCGTGGAGCCCGGGCCAACAGAAAGACGCTGGCTGGATGACCGTCCACACAGCGTCCAGCCAGCGCTCAGTGGGCCAGAAACCGGTGGAGGCGGCCAAAACTCTAGACGCGTTTTGAGCTCCAGAGTCGCTAAATGGGACTCGAGCCGAACGTGTGACCCCACCAATGGACTGCTCTCCGAACGAGGAATCCATTGGTGGGGTCACACGTGCGGTTCGAGTCCCATTTAGCGACTCCGGAGCTCAAAACGCGTCTGGAGTTTTGGCCTCCACCGGTCTTCTGGCCCACTGTGCAGCGTCCGGCGGAGCGCCCTGCAGCGACTCGCGGCGAGGCTTGGCGCTGTTCCCGCCGCGGGCCGAACTCGTCCCCAGTTCTCCAGTGTGCGTCCCTGCTTCCACCGCATTATACGCACTCCCTTGCGTTCCTTCCAGCTTTACTCAATAATAAAACAGTTTCTCAAACTTCCTGACACCCCCATTTTCTCGGGGGCCACTTCTGCTTTCTCATTCTCCTTCTTCTGATTTTTCTCGTCGTCCATCCTCGTCTGAGCTTGTCCTCCTGCTTTCGCTTCATCTTCCTCTCGGCATCCTTGCCTTCCTCGTCGTCTTGCCAGTCTTCCCCGTCTTCTTCGAGTCTCGTCGCTCTTCCAGGGCCTTGACACCCCCATTGTGCCTCCGCCGGGTGCGCCATGCCGTGGCCGTGACGTGTGGTGTGGTGAGCACGTTACTCCACAAAGCGGATTTTTCATTCTCTCTCTCTTCCGAGACTAAAAACGCGCGCGCGTTTCCTCTGCGGTCGGTAAAATCGTTGCAGCCACCTGCGAGTCCGCCCGTGCCTGTTGAGCGGACCAGCGCACAGTGGGCCAGAAGACCGGTGGAGGCGGCCAAAACTCTCGACGCGTTTTGAGCTCCAGAGTCGCTAAATGGGACTCGAACCGAACGTGTGACCCCAACAATGGACTGCTCTCCGAACGAGGAATCCATTGGTGGGGTCACACACTCGGTTCGAGGCCTGTTTAGCGACTCTAGAGCTCGAAACGCGTCTGGAGTTTTGGCGGCCTCCACCGGTCTTCTGGCCCACTGTGCGGCGGGGCGGGGCTGGCAGCGCCACCTGCGCGGCGGCCGGCTCAACCAGGCTGAACCTGCGACGGGCGCTGCGCGGCCGGCAGGGGGCGCCACCAGCCAGCAGCCCCATCCCTCTCCTCATTAATCGCTGCATAAATTAATAAATTAATTGCCTTCCCTCGTCCAGTATTTACTCGGCACCCTTTTGATGTGTGTTTGCCACCGCGGCGCGGGCTCAAGCGGACCGCTCCAGAATTGATAAATTAATAAATGTTTGAACGCGGGGATCTACGCGGCTCGGCGCCGCCTTGTATTGCACTCGGAACAGGTGGTTCTCCGCACCCCGCGCCAAAGGCCGCCAAAGGCGCGGCGGAGGTGGGACGACTGTCCAACGAGGGAAATTTCCCGGAACTCGTTGTTTTGTTTTTGTTATTCGACTGTGAACCGCAGCGAGCAAGGCCGCGATTTTCGTATTCTTTCCCGCCGCCGCTGGGCAACCCTCTAGCCAACAACAAAACTCTTTTAGTGTGTTTTAGTCACACAAAAACAACAACAACCAAACTGTTATTATTTTTAATCTACCAGGCCACACAGCAAAACACACACAAAGAGGCAGAAACTAGTCGTATCCGGGCGTTAGCACCGACTCTAGAGCAGTGAGAGGAAGAAGGATGGAACACACAGGCCGGCTTGCTTTCAACGCCAACTAATGCGTTATGCACACACGAGGAGTACCGCGCGTACCGCGCACCACACACCACACCAGCAGGCTGAAGCGTCGCTTCGTCGCTCCGTCTCCGTCGCACGCGCGCACAGTGGGCCAGAAGCCGGTGGAGGCGGCCAAAACTCTAGACGCGTTTTGAGCTCCAGAGTCGCAAAGCAGGACTCGAACCGAACGTGTGACCCCACCAGCTCTCCCGACGAGGAATCCATTGGTGGGGTCACACGTTCGTTTCGAGGCCTGTTTAGCGACTCTGGAGCTCAAAACGCGTCTAGAGTTTTGGCCGCCTCCACCGGCTTCTGGCCCACTGTGGCGCGGCGTGCGGGAGAGACACAGCGACTGAAACACTCTTCGTCATGGCTCGGCAGCACCGCACACGTCGGGGTCGGGGGAGGAAACGCGTGGCGCAGGCTGGGAGTCGAACCCGGGACGCCGGGGGAACGTCGACTCGGAGGGGGTAGCAATCTTTAAGAGAGTCCCGGCGGCAACGGCGGAACGCGGCGCGAAATAACCGCCACGGCGTTTGCCGTTCCACGAAAGCAGACAAAGACAGAGTCCTCATTTTAGTCATCCTTACGGAAGACATTTCCCCCGGGCGTCCGAGACAAGACAGCCAGTCCTCCCCCTGGCCGGCGACGCGGCGACGCACTGCGGCGGACCCACTCACCGCCCTCACCCCCGTGCCCGCTCTGCCCGTCCCCGTCGGCGTCCTTGGTGAAGGCCAGGAACTCCTGCAGGTGCTTGGGCAGCTGCTGCACCTCGGCCACCGTGGCGTGCTGCCGGTCGCCGGCGTCCTTGATCACCACGCAGTTCTTCTCGGCGGCGCGGCGCTGCAGCTGCGCGAGCACGTCGCCCTGCTGCACCACGCACCTGCACAACGAGCAGGCCGTCGCGGTGGCGGGCCGGCGCGCCGGTTTTGAAAGCCGCGACGACAAAGGGAGAGGGAAAACACACGCCTCCACCAACCTGAGCTGCGCAGCGTCCGCGCGCCCCGGCCGAGGCCCCGGCTGCCCCTGCACGCCGAGGTCCTGCTGCTGCTGCGCGCGCTCCGCCCCAAAGTCCACGTGCGCACGGCGCGCGCGCGCTGCCGTCACCGTCTCCGGGTCCGAGATCTTGATGACCTTCTGCTGGCGGCGGCGGTTGCGCTCCGCGACCTGCGCCATGTACTCGTCGTACATGTTGACGCGCCGCTCGTCGGGCGGCGGCGCGGGCGGCACGGACGACGCCCGGCCCGACGCGGGCTTGGCGTCGGGGGACTTGGGCCTGGCCAGCGACTGCCAGTACGGGCTGTCCGGCCCCAGGTCCTCGTACAAACTCCGGTTGTCGCCATTCGTCATCGGCGGCGGCGTCGGTGTGGGCGCGGGTGTCCGGGAAGAGGCATCCCCCTGCGACGCGCGGCGGACGCGCGACGGCGACGCCTGCGGCCGGGGCGGTGTGTGCCGGGGCGGCGGGCCGCCGTCGGCGAGGCTGCTCAACTTCCAGAACAGCTTGTCCTTGAGGATGGACGAGAAGGAGCGCGCCTCCGACACGCAGCGCGTCAGGCAGTCCGAGTCGAACTCATACCGGTGCTTGCCGCCCGCGTCCAGGACGTACGTCGGCATGGGTGTGCACGACGCCGTCGGGGCCGGGGCTGCAGGGGCACTGAGCAGCGCCAGCAGGCTGGTCAAGTCCGCGTCCGCGTTCCTTCGCCACGCCGCCGAGTCCGCGGCGCTGACCTTTCGCGCCGGCCTGTGCGCCGCGTTCGCCGCGCTGGCAACGGGCCCGCGGGGCTGGCCGTGCTGGCCGTGCTGGCCCAGGGGCTGCTCGTGGATCCAGAGGGCAGTGTCGATGTCGGCGCGCTGCCGGTGGAACTTGGACGAGTGCGTCCTGGGTGGCGGCGGCGGCGTCTCGTGGTAGGCGCGCCGCTCAGAGAACTTGTGGTGCATGTCCAGCAGCCCGGCGCACTCCTCGGGCGTGGGCGCGCGCCCGTTGAAGCAGCGGCGCTGCGACGGCGAGAGGCACAACAGCACGCGCGACCCGCCGGCCGAGAGCCCCGTGGAGTAGGACGACGCCGTGGACGCGTTGCTGCGCCACGACGAGGGCTGCGTCGCCAGCGGCGGCGACGACAGGAACACGAGGCGGCCGTCCACGACGCGGCGGTCGCCGACGGCGGCCTCGGGGGACGCCACGCGCCGCGGCTGGAACAACGCCTGCGACTCGAAGATGTCCGGCAGCCTGGTCTTGGGGCGCCAGCGGTCCTCGGCGCGCAGCGTGGAGGCCGCGCTGTCCTCCACGTCGGACAGGTACAACGCCGTGGTGCCCTGCGAGGACGGCGACAGGGCCCGCGACGGCGACCGCGACACGCTGCGGCCCGGGGACGTCGACCAGCCCCTGGACAGTGGCGAGCACGTCCAGGATCGCGGCGGCACCGGCGTCGTCGTCGGCGTTCTCTCGCACCGCGAAGCCCAGCTGCTCGGCGGCGATGTCGGGTCCCGGACGTAAGGGCCGATCTCCGAGTAGAGCTTCGTGCTCTGCGACGCCTGGCGCAGGGCAGCGCCGCCGTCGCCGGACATGGCGGCGTACACCGTGGTGGTCTGCAGGCCGGGCTGGACCTTGTCCCGGACGGGCTTGTCCTTCATCACAAGTTTTTCTTCGACCGCAGGTTTCTCCTTGACCGCAGGTTTCTCCTTGATCAAAGGCTTGTCCCTGACGGCCGGCTTGTCCCAGGGCCGGTGCAGCAGGCTCCACACCGTGCTGCCCTTGCTCTTCTCGGTCTCGGGGGGCTTCGGCTTCTTCTTGAAGTAGTCCTCGATCATCTTGGCCACGGGGTTCTTCCGCAGCCAGGGCCTGCCCTGCTCCTGGCCCTGCTCCTGGTCCTGCGGGGCGGTGGCGTGGTGCCGCGGCACGTTCACCTTGAGCGAGGGCTCGACCCTGGCGCTGAAGGCCTGCAGCGAGGCGATGAGTTCGCCCATCTCCAGCTCCACCTCGCGGTCCGGTCTGAACCTCGGCCGCCCCTCCTGCCGGCCGGTGGTTTCCGCCACCGCCGGCCGCCTCGCTTCTGCCCGCGAGTCTTCGGCTTGGAATGTGTTAGGGTTGCCGCCCGGCCCGAGGGGCGCGTCCATGGCGACGTCCGCGGCGACGCGGTGAGCGGATCCCAGTTCGGCGACGGGGACAGAAGTTGGCAACTCCGGAGAACAAACGGTGACTAATGACGGAGACGGAGGCATCGCTCTGTCTTTGTCGGACGGTGCGGAACAACTAGTCTCCCGACGCACAACTTCGTTACGTTCGGCACGGGGATTTTCCAGTGGAGGTGGCGGTGTTTGGAAGCGCTCGGGCGTCTCGGGACTCGAGTCGGGGCGCTCCGCGTCGCTGTCGAGCAGCGTCCTTAGGCTGATGGGGGCCTCCACGGGGGCCCTTGGCGCCGTCGGCGAGGTGCTGCATCGCGGGGACTCGTTCTGCAGACCAACCGCCGTCGAGAAGTCCGAGTCCCTCCCCTCCACTACACCGTTATCTTTGGCCTCGACGTCGAGGTCTTCTACCGCCGTGTTTTGTTCCAGATCAGCGCCTTGCACTGCCTCGGCGTCGACGGGGTCCTTCTTGAGGTCGGCGTCGTCCTGCCTCTGCAGCGTGGCGTGGTAGTCGGCGCTGCACTGCAGCCACTTGGCCAGCGGGGACGTGTTGGCGTCCTGCACGATGTCGGGCATGGAGGCCTCCATGGACACCGGCGTCGAGGACTTGAGGCTGGCGTCGTACCATTCACCGCTGTCCTCGCCGCCGGCCTCGTCCAGCGTGTCCTCGTCGTCCTCCGCCTCGTCCACCACGGTGGGCGTCTTGCTGCCCACGCTGCTCGTGCTGCTGGCGTCGTCCAGGAACACGACCTCGGCGCCGTCGAACACGCCCGACAGCGGTCGCAGGCTCACGACGCCGACCTCGGCAGGCGTGTCCGACGGGAAGGTGACGGCCGAGGCCGTGATTTCAGGCAGGTCCACCTCGTGCTTGGTGACCTCTGAGATCTTGACGACGGTCTTCTTGGTGGGCTGGGCGCGGCCCTGCTCGGCGGCGTACGCGTTCGCCCGGCGGCGTGCCGCACTCAGCGGTATCCGCAGCGGCCGCGTCAGGCGGCTGTTCGTCGTCCTGGCCGTCGCCCTGGCCGCGGGCGGCGGCAGCTCCTGGCCGACGGCATGCTCCGGGGGCTCCTCTTCGATCACCTCCAGGCTGTACGGCGGGGGCGGCTTCGCGGCGCGAGGGGACTCTGAGCTGTGGGCCGTGGAGGTCGTGCCATTCCCGACGGTCACCTCCACGGCCTCGTGCTGGGGCACGGACGTTGCCGTCGGGAACTCAAAAGGGCAAAACGCTTCGTCGACGTCGAACTCCCTCACGAAGTAGGTGGCCGCCTCCAGGGGCTGCAGCTCGCCGGCGAACTCCCAGCTGTCGTCCGGCAGCTCCTCCACGCTGGCGGAGCTCTCCAGCAGCAGCGGGCTGTCGGCCCGGTCCTCGCGGTCCTCCTGGTCGTCGTGGTCGTCGTGGTCCTCGTCGGGCGGCACCGGCGAGTCGAGGCGCTGGATCGCGATCTCGTACTGCTTGATCTTGTGGTCGAGGTAGGCCTCCACGATGCTGGGGTACCGCCTCAGCGGCCGCCTGCCTTTCTTGGCGTCAGTCGCGGCAGGCTCAGTCTGGGCAGCGTCAGTCTCGGCGGGGTCAGTCTCGGCGGGGTCAGTTCCGGCGGCGTCATCGGCCACCTCGGGATTGGAATGTGTGCGGGTGTCCCGGGTGTCCCCTGGGGGTGCTATCACAGCCGTTGGTGGGCCTTGCCCTTGGTCCTCGTCGTCCTGCCTCCGCTCGTCGCCGACCTGGGCCCTGACCTCGGCCCTGGCCGCCACGTCCAGCGGGTGCCGGCGGCCGTCCCAGTCGGGCGTTTTGGGCGTCATGGAGCCCACGTCCACGACGATCTCCTCGATCTCCTTGATGGTGACGTCGCCGTCTTCGCCGTTGGCGGCCGTCTCCTCCGTCACGATGATGACGAAGCTCTCCAGCCCCTCCACGTCGTCCAGGTCCGGGCTGTTGCGGCTCGACAGGCTGGACGTGGACCTGCGCCACCGCAGCCCGAGCCGCTGCCCGCTGCCCGCGACCTCGTCCGCGACCTCGTCGTCGAACAGGGGGTTCTCGATGACGCGGCGCGGCACCTCGAGCGGCAGGCTGCCCCCGCGCACGGGGGTAGCGCCACCCCCGCCGCCGATACTCCCGTCCTCCGTACCCCCGCCGTCGATACTCTCCGCGCTGCCGCGGCGGCTGGCGCTCGCGCTGCGAGTCTCTTCGGCCTCGGCCTCCTCGGCCTCCTCGAGCAGGCCCGGCTGGCCCGCCTGGCCCTGCAGTCGCTGCAGCTCTTGCGCGCGCCGCATCTTGCACCTGTACTTGCGCAGCCTGCGCGCCCTGGAGGAGCTGATGGAGACCCTGCTGCCCTCCCTCGCCAGCTCGGGGTCCGACCGGGACTTGGACACACCGCCCCCGCGGCCCCCACGCCGCCGCCCTGGCCCTGGAGGTGGCCAGGGATTACCAGAGGAAGAAAGAAACATTTAAACTTTGGGTTCGGACGCATTGAGAAATCTATTTGATTCGTATAGTACTAAGACCGTTGTCGTTTTTGTGCGTATACTGAGATGCCTATTCAAAGCGATTCCTCATAGATTTGCAAACGCAGTTTGTCTAGCCCAATAATCGCTATAATTTTTACAAAAGAAAAATTAAAAGGACAATAACAATAGAAAAGAAGTTAGCAAAACGTGCAGTTTGGCATGGCAGCAAATGCCCACATTCCAGTGACTTTTGTGACATTACCGAGCAAACGACCAGAGTCGAGACTACTCTCCAGCCACCCTGTGCAGTGCACCCAGTGCACCCTGACCCAAAAGCACCATCAACAACAACAACATCAAAAGCTGTGCCGCACCTGTGGACTCCTTCTCGCCGTGCTTGTTGGCGGCCTTGCTACTGTTGTTGTTGGTTTCGCTGCTCCCTGCAACAACAACAACATCAACATGAAAGCGCTTCACAATAGTCTCACGCGCAGGAGGTTTTGTCGCCAAAATGAATCGACAATCACGTCCGCCCTCTGGAATGGCCTTCCCCATGCGCCGCGATGCAACGGGACCAAAATAATCGGACTAGTTGAACCCGGGCTGGGCCGGCCAGCACACTGATTCAGCGACGGTCGCTCTGTCTCTCTCGCTCCGATACGGGACGCCCCGTGAGTGCGAGAGAGACAGAGCGACCGAAACGACTCTCGGAATCAGTGTGCTGGTCTATGATGCGTGTCAAAGCGCGGCCCTCCCACCGGCAGCTAGCGGCAGCGGCTCCGCCCAGACGTGGGACCGGCCGACGGGCCAGGCCGCCACGCCGCCACGCCGCCAGGCCAGACCCTCGAATGCATACCGCGTGCACAGCAGCACAGCACGCCCCGCCTCGCCGCTTTGCGCCGTTTCCGGCGGACCGGGGCCAGGGCTGGAGCTTTGGCTGGAGCTTTGGCTGGAGCTTTGGCTGGAGCTTTGGCTGGAGCTTGGTCCGGAGCTTGGCCTCGAGCCTGTACTGCAACTTTGACCGGAGCTTGGTCTGGAGCTTTGTCTGAAGCTTGGTCTGAAGCTTGGCCTGAAGCTTGGCCTGAAGCTTGGCCTGAAGCTTGATCTGAAGCTTGGTCTGAAGCTTGGCCTAGAGCTTTGTCTGAAGCTTGGCCTAGAGCTTTGTCTGGAGCTTGGTCTGAAGCTCGGCCTGAAGCTTGATCTGAAGCTTGGTCTGAAGCTTGGCCTAGAGCTTTGTCTGGAGCTTGGTCCGAAGCTTGCCCTGGAGCTTGGCTTGGAGCTTTGGCAGGAGCTTTCTCTGGAGCTTGGCCTGGAGCTTTGTCTGAAGCTGGTTGTCCCCCAGAGTCCTCCGGCATCAGCAACCTCCCGCAGCACAAGAGCTTCATCCTGCTGGTCTTCCGCGGCGGCCGCATTCAAGTCGCTTTCCACTCCACTGCTTTCCACCGCTTTTCACTGCCCTCCACACTGCGCGTCGCGATGCAAATCAAGACACGGAGGCATGTAAAGACGAGCACTTGGAAGAGTGCCCGGAAAATTGAAACGGTTTGGAGCTCAGGCCATGGAATTCCAGGGAAACGAGAACACCACGCTATCGCACGAGCACGGCACAGTTTACACGCACACACACGCACGCACACACACACGCGCGCTCGTCGTTCAAAGAGACTGTTTCGGATTGGACACGGCCGGGCGCGCTATCGCGTCGACCCGTTCCTTGGAGACGCTCGCCAGAGACTGGAGAAAACATTAAGCAGCACGAGCGAGGGGGGCAGGCCAGGCCAGGCCAGAGGGCGCGGCCCCTTCCGTAGCGTACCACGCCGTGCCGTGCCGTGCCGTGCCGTGCCGTGCCGTGCCGTGCCGTGCCGTGCCGTGCCACGCGTGACTGCCACGCAACGGCACGGCGACACTCGCTTCAAACGTCCCCGCCCAAGCCGGCGCGTCTTCCCCGGTCTTCCCCCGTGACGAGCGTCGATCGGCAGTGCAGTGCCTGCAGTGCCTCCACTACTCCCCCCCCCCCCACCCCCCACCCCCCCGCCTCCCTCACGCATGTCGCCGGAAAAGAAGGGTCATCATTTTTCAGAGCGTCTACCTGCTATGAAATTTCAATTTTCCGTCATTATTTCGTAATTTTGTTCGAAACTTTAAGCCATGTCGAACGTATTTCTTTTCGTTTACTTTCTATTATTGTTTCTGTAGCATATATGAATTTCTTTTTCGTAGAAACTGCGTTGTTTGAAGCGGCGCGCGGTGCCTTTTCATTTGTGGGCGGCATGATTGCATTCCCACCGCACTGCCCTGCAGCAGACTGAGAGTCGTGTTCGTCGCTCTGTCTCTCTCGCACTCACGGGGCGTCCCGTACAGGTGCGAGAGAGACAGAGCGACGAGCACGACTCTTTAGTCCGGTGCATTCTGGCCGATTCCATCCGCGGGCACTGATCCGCGTCGAAACGACGCGCCGCGGACGGGGCGGACGCACAGTGGGCCAGAAGACCGGTGGAGGCGGGCAAAACTCTAGACGCGTTTTGAGCTCCAGAGTCGCTAGACAGGCCTCGAACCGGACGTGTGACCCCACCAATGGATTGCTCTCCGAACGAGGAATCCATTGGTGGGGTCACACGTTCGGTTCGAGGCCTGTTTACCGACTCTGGAGCTCAAAACGCGTCTAGAGTTTTGGCCGCCTCCACACCGGTCTTCTGGCCCACTGTGGGTCGGGGCGGTGTCGCCGTTTCTCACACACCGACGGGCCGAGTCCCAACGGCGCCGTCCGTCTCTCTCGCACCCACACGGCACGGCCCGTGCGTGCGAGAGAGACGGAGCGACACCACAGCCCGGCGGACGGTGAGTGCCGTGAGGCGGGGACGTTACCGCCGCAGCACGGCCAGCACAGCCAGCACGGCCAGCACGATCAGGTGGCGATCGCCCCCGACCTGATTTATAACTGCACCCAATATAAGGATAGAGTGAGAGGGGAGCGGAGCGGAGGGGGCGTGGCGCACAGCGACGCATCCGTTCCGAAGCGGCACCGCCATAAACCAATAGGATTCTGCATTCATTCGTCCACACACACACACACACACACACACACACACACTAACACACACACACTAACACACACTAACACTAACACACACACACACACTAACACACACACACACACACACACACACACACACACACACACACACACACACACACACTAACGCGCGTACGCCTTCTCATCCGAGACACGCGGCGACATCCGTTTCGAGCGAAATCTGGCCTGACCGCGGTGCGGCTTCACCCAGAGAGGTCGGTCCACCGCAAGCGAAGCGCCTCGCGAAACGGCAGGGTGGGCAACCCGGCCGCGCCGGAGCTCTCGCGTTGCCTACCCGCGCAGCCGCGGGCGCTCCAGCCAGGCTCGGACTGGCCCCCAAAAGGCCCCAGCGGATAAGACCGCAAAAGGCCCCCGATCATCATTATGTTTTTACCCTTCATGACCAACTTTGTGAGGCTACCGCTCCCAAACTAGTTGCGGTCAATAGCCTTCCCGATACAGGGCATGAAAGAGTAGGGTCTTAAGAATACTAGGGCGTCGAGGGAGGCCTTTTGCGGCGACTAGATTGGACGCAGTGGCCACCCAAAGTCAGCAAAATCAGCAAATTTCCCAGATTCGACCACTTTTTGACCAACTTGGTCGAAAAATCGTTGCGGTCAAAGCCGAAATCGTTGTGGTCAACGTCTTCCCGATACAGGGCATGAAAGAGTAGGGTCTTAAGAATACTAGGACGTCGAGGGAGGCCTTTTACGGCGACTAGATTGGACGCAGTGGCCACCCAAAGTCAGCAAAATCAGCAAATTTCCGAGATTCGACCACTTTTTAACCAACTTGGTCGGAAAATCGTTGCGGTCAAAGCCAAAATCGTTGTGGTCAAGGTCTTCCCGATACAGGGCATGAAAGAGTAGGGTCTTAAGAATACTAACGCGTCGAGGGAGGCCGTTGGCCGCAACTAGATCGGACGCAGTGGCCGCCCAAAATCAGCGTAAACGGCTACTTTCGGAGATTCAGTCACTCTTTGACCAACTTTGTGACGTTACTGGAGCCAAACCCGAAGGCCCCGGCAGATTTTTCTGCCTGTCTGCTCTGGCCAGCCCGAGCCTGGCTCCAGCCGCGCTCCAGTAGTCTGCTCGCGTCGGATCGTTTTCGTTTTCGTTCGTTTCGTCGTCGATAGTCGTCGACGGGAGAAAACAACTTACGTCTCAGACTGCCGCGTCGTTTGATGGGTCCGCCACTGGAACTGCAAACAGAAAACGACCGTTGAAATCTTCCGAGGCGAGGATAGAGATTTTAGTGCGCCGAGGAAAGGAATAAACGCATTATGTATGGGGGTAGTGGTAACCTTAATGGTCCCACTTTTCATACTTCGTTTCTTTACACATTTTCTTTTCTTTCAATCACGCTGTTAATGTTGTTTTTGTTGTTTTTTCGTTTTCCTTTTTGTGCTTTTGTTTTTTCTTTTGCTTTTAATGTTGTTGTTGATTTTGTTTTTATTTTGTTGTTGTTGTTTTGGCGGTGTGGAATGTGTCTCCCAAAACGCGTTGGCATAGCCCTGACGCGTCACTGACGCGTCACTCTGGCGGGCAGGGCCGCGCGCGGCCACGCGCAGCCAGTGAGGCACGATTCCGGTCATTGGACATGATCTGTCGGCCCGCTGCGTGCAGTGCAGTGGCGTGGCAGTGCCGTGGCAGTGCCGCACAGGCCGTGTGACCCCACCTATATCACCGCACTGCTGCATTCCTGCGCGCCGAAAAAAAAAAACCTTCCAAAACTTTCGACGCGCGCGTACACAGCTAAACAAAACGGAAAAAAAGTAAACAAATGTGTAGAAATCATCGTTTGGGCTGACTTTCGGCAGCCACTACGTCTGATCTAAGGCGGATAATCGTTCTCCCTCAGCGGCTGGGTACTCTTTGGGCCTTCCTTTAGAACACCTTTGTTACGGAGTGCGATTAGCCGCCTTAGTTTGGGAGTGGCATTGCAGCAAAGTTTGTCGAAACGGTAACAAATGTGTAGAAATAATCGTTTGGGCTGACTTTAGGCAGCCACTACGTCTGATCTAAGGCGGATAATCGTTCTCCCTCAGCGGCTGGGTACTCTTTGGGCCTTCCTTTGGAACACCTTTGTTACGGAGTGCGATTAGCCGCCTTAGTTTGGGAGCGGTATTGCAGCAAAGTTTGTCCAAACGTCGTGTAGAAATTGTGGCAAAAACAACGAAATTTTTTTAAAAAAAATAAGAAAAATAAGAGTTTGTTGGAGAGTCGCGCGCGAGACACCGCGCCCGTGACCATCGCCGTGACCCGCTGCACTTACACCGTAAGTGAGAAGCAGCCGCGTTAGCAGCCTCAGCACGCGATGCCCACTACCACGATTGCCTCCATTGCCCTCGTCACCCAGTTACGCCATTCTCGTTTCCACCGCAAAAACAACAACAACAACAACAACAACAAGACACTAGATGTTTGTGTATTTTAATTGTCTGTAACTATTGGCAAATTCGTAAAAATGAAAGCTGTGCACAATTCGAGGGGTCCTATTCAAAAGATCTTATCTGCGCGTTCCCCCCAAGACAATCTTATCTTAAACGCAGGCAAATTTCACTCAGTTTAATCATTTGATACAGCTACAAATCAATATAAATTTGTGATTAAATTCACTGAAATGTAAAGATGAAAGATCAAAGAAACCAATAGTGCATGCAGAAATATATCCCGCTTACTGTCGTACCCATCCCAAATGATCAAACTGAGTGAAATTCGCCTGCGTTTAAGATAAGATTGTCTTCGGGGGAACGCGCAGATAAGATCTTTTGAATAGGACCCCTCGAATTTAACACATAAATTAAGGACGGTATTTTTCACATCGTGCTCGAATAGTAAGTTGTACCCAATTTAGGTACAAATTTGTACAGAACTCGCACAAATACGTCGATACTCGAGGAGTGTGGCCCACTGTAAAACGGTGTGTGTGCACTTACTCGTTGAGGCCCAGCCTGAGGGTGGGCCCGCCGCACCGCAGCAGCTGGTGGGCGTCCGAGTTGGTCATGGCGGCCGTGGGTTGGCCGTCGATGGCCGTGATGACGTCACCCTCGCGCACCCCCTGCGAGGCGGCGCGGCTGCCTGGGTTCACCTGCCAGAGACAATAGCACGCGCGATTAGAACTACTCGTCTTACAACGACATGCAGCAGACTGATTCCGAGAGTCGTTTTCGCGTCGCCGTGTCTCTCTCGCACTCATGGGGCGTCCCGTGTAGGTGCGAGGGGAAACGGAGCGACGAAACCGACCCGCGGAATCCGCCTGCAGCACCAGGAAGAGGGAGGTTTCGCAACCGTTCGCGCTCGCACACTACAAAGAGTATTTTCAAAGTCTACGCATGAAGTCAGCGTGTGCCGTTGCTGAGGAATGAACTCTACAAAATCGACCAAAACATCGTTTCCGCGTTAAGCTGCACCGCACCCGGTCCGCTCTGAGCCGCCGGAACTTGAGCATCTCTTTGGAAAAGCAGGGACACATTCACGGGCAGAGGGTCCCTCGGTGACTGGGCCGTCGGGGCTGTCGGGGCGGGCAGACGCTCACCGACGCCAGACACCGTATCAGCCGGGCGGGCCCCGGCTACGCCCCCAACGCACAGTGGGCCAGAAGACCGGTGGAGGCGGCCAAAACTCTAGACGCGTTTTGAGCTCCAGGGTCGCTAAATGGCACTCGAACCGAGCGTGTGACCCCACCAATGGATTCCTCATTCGGAGAGCAATCCATTGGTGGGGTCACACGTTCCGTTCGAGCCCCATTTAGCGACTCTGGAGCTCAAAACGCGTCCGGGGTTTTGGCCGCCTCCACCGGTCTTCCGGCCCACTGTGCGGCGCCGACCCCTTTACGGACGGCCCCCGATCCTCCCCGGGCGTGTTCTCCGTGTCGCAGCAACACAGCCTCGGGCCTAGAGCCCCTCGCCGCCAGGGGTATCGCCGCCCACCTGATGGGGGACGCACGCGAGCGTGACGGCGCCGCGCCGATACTCCGCGCAAGGGGTATCGCCGCTGCGAGAGCGCGCGGGGTACGTCCGCACGCGTGAATAACTTAGAGGGTGACATCACGCCGCACAACGACGGCGACGACGAGCCAAACGTTGGACCGTCGGTCTCTCTCTCGCCCAGTCGGAGCGCTTCGTGAGTGCGAGAGAGACAGAGAGCAGCGGACGGCGGTGCAGGGCGCAGGGCAGGGCGGCCATGTAAATGCAGTTCGCGCAGCAGCCGCAGAGCCGCGAGCCTCCCCGGGGGGACACTGGCAGGAGGGGGAAGGGGAGGGGGGCACAGCGGGCCCCAAGACACATTGGACGCGGCTGGGGTAGGCACGGCGGCACGGCGACTCTGAGGTGCGGCAAGTAGAACAGCCACTGCAAGTGTCTGGGACCGGTCTATTATTCGATGCTTTGTGGGTCAATCGGCCTGCTGATGCAGTCTATTGCACAACGCCTCCTCTTTGTCTATCCCCTACTCCCATCCCAAAAAATTGCAAAAATAAAATAAAATTGGAGGTTGGGCTTTTTTTTTTCATCTGCATGACTGAGAGGCGGCGGTGGCGGTATGAGCGTCTGGGAGGGGGCGGGCCGTTGGCGGGTCGTACTCGGGCATTTTCGGGTGTTTTCGGCCGGACTCGGGCATCCGCAGTTTGCGGGGGACGAAGGCGGCTCATCCTCTCTCTCTCTCTCTCTCTCTCTCTCTCTCTCGCTCGCTCTCTCTCTCTCTCTCTCTCTCTCTCTCTCTCTCTCTCTCTCTCTCTCTCTCTCTCTCTCTCTCTCTCTCTCTTGAGGTAGACAGAGTGCTCCAGTGAGGCTCCCAGATTTAGCCCTTTTACTAGTGTTTCCTGGTGAAAGAAGTCCAAAACCCATTAGAGAACAAAATCAGTCAGTGACAGTGATCATAATGTGAAGAAAATTTCCACGATTCCCCCGACGGATCGGGCGGAAAAGTGAAATCAGTCCTAGCCGGACTCGTGGACTTTTCCCGCCTTTTTCAACAAGTCAACTTTAACAACGAAACCAGCATCCTTTCGCAAACATGGATTACGCGAGTGCAGCATCATCTTCAAGAGCCCCCCATGTCCAACTTAAACCCCGTTACTCAAGAAACTCTGAAAGTGAACCCAGTGCTAGTGAAAACTTAACCTCAAAATCCCCCCAAACCAACCCCAACCAACAAGACAACAACAACATTGCCTATTCTCCCAATAGGAAGAATGCCATAATCATTGAAAACATTCACCAAGTCAGTCAAGACCAGTGCCTCCGAGCTGTCGCTGATGTGATAGGAGGACGAAACATTCATTACTGTACCCGCCTTAGTGGAGGGCGAGTTTGTATGTACCTGACGAATGAGAACTTTGTAAACCAAATTTGCGAGGAAGGAGGGATACAGATTGGTCCACTTTACTACCCTTGTCGACGCTATGTTACTGAAGCAACCAAGTTCATAGTTTCAAATTGTCCTCCTGAAATTCATGACGAAGATCTCAAGGACCTCCTAGCACCCTACGGAAGAGTTGTCTCTGCCCCAACCAGACTCAAAGTATCAACAACTCATGATGATCTCAAACACGTCAAGTCCTGGAAGAGATCCATATTCATCATGATTCCCTCTGGAGCTCCAGAAATGCCAAAAAAAATACTGGTTACTACTGTTGAAAACAACAAGGTCACCTTGTACATTGACCGAGATGACATTATGTGCAACTTCTGTCTCGTGCCAGGACATCTCGAGGCAAAATGCAAGAAGAAACTCAACCAGGATCAAGAATTCCCAGCCATCAGACCACCAGTTTCTCAACGCTTGTTGATCAACAGAACATCCCGCCCAACAACTGGACAACAACCATCTGGAAGTTCAAGTTCAGTACCCCACATTCCCATGCCAAATTTCGTTGCTGCTACAGTGCTGCAACCTTCTACTTCCATGTCATCTCAGACAGTCACATTGCAAGACTCAGAGTTCACTTTCAGCACTCCTACCATCCTAACACCCGAAACAAGTCAAGTACCCCAACAGCGGAATGAGCAACCTCAAGAAATTTCCATTACGGAAACTATTTATGGAGACACATTATTTACCCCAAGAAACTCAAGTGAGAAAGTAACTGACACTTCACAAATTGATGATTTGATGGACAGCCAACTGGAGTCAAGTTGGTACTATCAATCTCAGAATGAAAGTGTCAAGAGAAAAGAGCGTTCCCCTGAAAAAGACAGAGAAACTGATCTCGATATGAACACTGATTCAAGCACAACATCATCAATCTCATCATCTGCCCCCAACAAGAAGCAAAAAGTAAAGAAGAATAAAGAAGATGCCCTCCAGACAGTACTCAACCAAATGACTTTCAAAGAATCCTTCCTGAAGAGAGAAGACTTCATTGATTTCATGAAAGACGCCCGAGGCAAGTCCAACTCCAAAAATATTGCAGCCAGATATACTCAGAATTTTGGAGCCTTGATAGTTCAACTTCAAGAAGCCGAAAACGTCTGCATGGACTTCAATCTTAAAAGGAGATTTCAGCGTGCAGCAGACGCTTTGAGAAGTCAAGAAAATCCAGAAGACCAGAGTGAACAATGAAAAACAGTGATAACAGCTTTTTATATTTTTTACTGTGCCTATCAGTCAAAAAAAAATTGTACAAAAAGCCAAAATGTCGATATTCACATTAACATCTGTGGTGGTAATCATGCTTAGCATTCTCACTTTGAATGTTAAAGGTTTAGTCACACAAGAAAAACAACTTTGCCTACAACAATTTGCCGATAATCACCACAATTCAGTGCTCTTTTTGCAAGAGACTAATCTTTCAAGATCAACACCGATGGCTAGAACTATGGATTTTACATTCTTCCTTAACCCCCCTGTACAACCTTCTTCAGGCGTCGCCATTGCCATCAAGAATCAACTTCTTCAAGAAACCAAGATAATTCAAGAATCAAATCTAGTCCCTGGATACTTACAAGCACTGCATCTTGAAATCAAGAGCTACAAATTTTACTTCATAAATGTTTACATGCCTCATAATGCACAGGTTGCATCTCAGGTATTAAACAAAATTCATAATTTTTTGTCAACAATTACAAGTGAAGATGCCATCATCATAATGGCTGGAGACTGGAATACAACTTTAGCCAAAGAAGATAGAAGAAACTGTTCTGAAAAAAGAACTCAATTAGTAAATCAAATCCAAGTTCTTCTGCAACAGTACAATCTGACTGATGTTTGGAGAAACTTCAACCCTAACAAACAACAATTCACCTACAGAGGATTACAAAACAATCATCCCATGGCTAGACTGGATCGTGCTTACATCCAAGCCCGTAACTTACATGCAGTACAAAGCACAAATATTATTCCATCCTTCTCTGACCATGATGGAGTAACCATCACTCTAAATATTTTTGAAAAGAATTATAAAACACCTTATTGGAAGTTTGATGTAACTCTTCTCAAGTCAAATGAATATATTCAAATCATAAAAAACATCATAGAATATTTTGAAGAAAAGGAGCAAGAAGAAAATTCAAATATAGTTCAACTGTGGGACTGTTTGAAACAAGAAATATCTTTAGCTTCACAACGGTTTTCCAAAAAACTAAAAGAAGATTCAGAAGAAAAACTCAAGACACTTACTTCAACAATAAGTCACATTGATAAAAAAGAAGAACTGTCAAGAAATGATCAAAAACTTCTGCTTCAAATCCACAAAGAAATATCATCAATTTACAACAAGGACGCATCCCTCAAATTAAATTTGTTGGAGTCACAAGTCCGTCAAGAAGCCAATACTTCATCAAAATTTTTCCTCAGAATTGCAAAGCAATCTAAGCCTTCAGCTGTTATAAATGAACTTTTAATTGATGGGCAAGTAACATCAGACAAGACTGCAATTTTTACAGAAGTCCAGAAGCATTTTCAGAGTGAGTTTAGTTCACAAAATTTGTCCCAGAATTTTAATCCAAATAGTACTCTCTACCAAGATACTCCCTCTCTGAGTCAGCATGACTCAGAAAAGTGTGAAGAAAAAATAACTGAAGAAGAGATAAAAGAATCCATACAATGTGCACAACTAAACCGAGCTCCAGGCATGGACGGTTTGCCAAT